CCCCCCCCCCACAAATCCCCCACTGCTTCTTCCACTAGGATGAAGAAAAGTGGGGAGTTTCACAAGGAGGAAAATAGCTTGCAGTAGCTCAGTTCCTCAGAGATGTGAAAGTGAAAGAGATGGCCTGTGTCAAAGAACACTGCGGGCATACTCACACTAGGCCCTCAAAATTGGAAAATCGCAAAATGAGCGGCAAGATTGAGTCCCCCCCCTTGTAACCGAACGACTCGATCTGGCCGCTCATTTTGTGATTTTGAGGGCCTAGTGTGAGTGTACTCTCAGACTATGTCGTCGAGATCTCAGAATCACAAAATCAGCGGCCGGATCGAGTCCTTCACTTGCGAGTACTAGAACTACCTGCTGATTTTGGAGTTCTGCAAATTTGAGGGCCTACGGTCTTCACCCGAACACAACGTACGGTCATTGTTGCCGTGTCTAGACTGAAAGTCGCCCCAAATACAGCTATAATAACTGTACCCAGTATTCGGGCAAAGATGACGGTGGTGTGAGCATACCCTCATACTGCGATGGGCAGAAGGTGTCTCTGGGTTGGTGGTGGCTTGAATGCTGGCTACTGTTGGGGACTCTTAAAGCTTGAGAGTTGGATTAAACCACCCGTACTCCCTCACGCCGTGACCGTTAAAGTCGCCCCCGTTAACAAGCCATGATAGCTACTTCTCAAAAATGGATTAAAGTTGTCATTAGACCACTCGTCGCACTCGTATTTCCTGAAGTCGTGCCCGTTAACAAGCCATCATTTTAGGAAATGCACGGGCCACTACAGGAGCGCCTATATTCATCTGAGTAGAAACGTTTCTACGCTATTTTTTTCACATGGCTGAGAGATTCACATGGCTGTTAACAAGCCATGATAGCTACTTCTCAAAAATGGATTAAAGTTGTCATTAAACCACTTGACGCACTCGTATTTCCTGAAGTCGTGCCCGTTAACAAGCCATCATTTTAGGAAATGCACGCGCCACTACAGGACCGCCTAAATTCATTCGAGTAGAATTGTTTCTACGCTATTTTTTTCACATGGTCGAGAGATGGGCCAAGTATCGGCGGCTTAAGGAATATGAATTGCCGGAAAAGGAAATTCAGTTATATACTGGCGCAGACAATCTTTGCTAGTGACAGGGTTGATTTCCTTTTCGGAGGGTGCCGTATCCTTTTCGCAGAGATGGCATTTTGGGTAGGTCCGTGCTATAGGACCCTAGGGTAAACCTGCAGCTCGGCCTATTGGTTAGATTTGTGGCTAATAGTTTCGCCCCCTTGAGCCCGGGGTGTTACTCATCCTTTTGGTTTGGGTTTGGCTCTACGCTTGAGAAGCCAGTAGTTTGCCTCCCCCCTCTGAGCCCGGGGGTGGAACTCACGTGTTTGTGTGGTTTTGGCTCTATGATTGTAGCGTAGATACCACGGTTGTAGGCCTTGCCGTAACAACCGCGGAGTTTTCGCGGCTCGATTGGTGGTTCCTGGGTGATGCGGATTGTGTGCCGAAGGTTTTCCGAAGGATTCTATTCTTGTTCAATCATTCTTTGTGTCGAGTAACGCTGTGGAGTCATTGTTTGTGTCGAGTGACGCTGTTATCTGCGAGGATATGCCTATGTGTGATGTGTCTATCACTTAAACCTTTGGAGGCACATGTGAACCTTCCTGGAGTCTGCTGACCGGGAGTGAGTGAGCACGACTTGTCGGATCTTATTGTATTCACGTCGCTATTTTGTCTTACGATCTGAAGACTGTAGCTGAAGGAGGAACGTATTGAACCGACTGCCTAATGCGACTTTATTTTGGCGTTTGTTAAGGTTCTTGTTACGACATATCGACGTGGCCAGTATGGCCGGCGGACACTATCGCAGGGATGACCGTGAAGGAAGACGCCCACATTCCCCCGAACGCGGGAGGAGCAGTAATCGGGAAAGCATCCGAGAGCGGCGTGGTGATTCGAATAGCAGAAGCCGGGAAGGACGTTACGACCGAGCTGGGGGAGAGACGTCACGAAGACCTCCGCCAATATGCTTTGGATGTAAAGTAATTGGACACTACCGATCCGATTGTTGGACGTTCTGGACAGATGCGGCCACTCGACGGCAGATGGAGGCAGAAGGGCATACGTGTCCCGTCGAGTTCGACCGGCGAAGTGGTGCTTCACCACCTAGAGTTTTTCGGCAACAATCTATCGACGACCCGACGGCACGTACGCAGTTGGAAGAAATCGGCAGGAACGTGGCAACAATGCAAGAGTTCATTGATATGGAGAAGGCACGCCGTGCTGAGCGCGAACTAAGGCGGTGGGAGCGCGAAGCAGCCCTATTAGCTGAGGAGGCAGCAGCAGCAGCTTAAGCGGAGCGCGCCGCTCGGAAAGCTGAGAAACTACGGAAGAAGGAAGAGGAACAACTGGCTATGGCCAAAGCAGTCGAGGTTCAATTGTCCTTACGATTGGGCGACATTCGCGATGAAATCAAGTCCGACGCACGCAGGGCGGTGGCTGGAAGTATCGTTAAGAACTTGAGGCCTACCCAAGTTACTACGATAACGAAGGGGAAGGAGAAGGCAGTCGACGAGTTACCCTCTGCTTCGGGAGCGTCGAGCGACATAGAAGGAATTACAGCAGGAGCCGAGAACCTGACTATCCAGGAGAAGCGGAAACGCGATGTTGATACCCCGGTGGGGAATAGCCCACCTGTCACGACACCAGCCAAACGAGTGAATCAGAGGCAAGGGATTCGCCCTGTTCGCTTGTCGGAACGCTTTCAGCGCACTCGGACCCGTATCTCATTCCGCAGAAGCGCACGTACAAAGGCGTTGACAGCGATGAAAGCACCGGCTCGAGATACGATAGTCGAGCGGATGCTGTACTTGGACAATACACGCCGTGAACTATCCAAGATGGACTGTGACCAACTTCGTGCGATCTGTCGTCAAGAAGCCGGTTCATACTCTACAAAGGTGCTGGCAATTTTCGATATTGTCGATCAACGAGCGATTCAGCAGTTCGGTGACTTGTGTGGGAATCAGGATGCTCTTGGGAATCCCGAGGGAACAACTGCACATTCAAGTGGCGAGGGATCCGAGGTTGGCAGCGAAGCATGAATGGGCCTAACTAGTGTGGAATGGACAAGGATAGCGGAATGTTTGTTTTCGTTTCGTCACCATGAACACGCCGTTGACGATGTGGTCGAAGGGATTCTTCAACTTTTGACCTTGTTACTAGCAGTGCGGGGAAGGGTACGTTGGCTTAATAAAGGTGTGGATTCGTGGCTACGGTTGTATCAGCAGTTCGCCTTGGACTTCTTGAATCATTCGGGTTGTGTCTATGTGATCTCTTCTATCTGGTGTAAATCTCAATACATCGGGCAAACGTCGCGTTGCCCGGTTGTGAGATGGCGTGAACATCTGTCTGTGAGCAAACGTGAAGCGAACCGTACCCACCCATATCGTTGGTGGAATTGTTTCGGGAGTGAATCCTATTCTCTCTTGCCAGTGGACATCGTGGAGCCAATAGATTTGCTAGCAGTCGAGGCACTTTTCAGCCGGAGGTGGAGTCCATTCCTTAACACGGACGGTAAGAAGGAGGGATACAAGTCTGGTGCTCGTCATGGCATAAGGGAGAGATCCAGATTGAAGCTTCACGTAGTAACGACCGAATCGCACCGACCAATCCACCCGATTCGGGTTCGACTATCCACTGAGGACGAATGGTCAGTCGACATCTTCAAGGTCTTGTTGAAACAAGAAGAGCTTGGCGTACGTTCTTTCTCACTTTACACCGTGGGTGGTAGCACTTGGTGCTGCAAATGGAAGAGTATCAAGAAGGCCTTTGGGGCATCGCCCATTGAGTGTGAGGGTGTAACGGGTAAACTGATGGAGTTTAAAACGCGCTTTGAAGTTGAGGGTGTGTTGTCTGTTTAGTATTTACGCAGATGGAAACCTCGCAGGTCCACAAATAAACCTGTTTTAATCTCCATATTGAAGAACCCAAGACGTTTGGAATCACTTCGGCGTTGGGATTTGGAATCGCTATCAAGTCTGCTTAATTGCGTCAAGGAGTTTGAGAAGAAAGGCACGCGTTCGTATCTTAGGCGTTTGATTGGGCGTTGTGTTAAGGAGGAGTTCGATTATAATCTGTCCGCCAAGATTGTAATACGACTGCTGTTTGATGATAGAATCAAGTTGCGTGAAGTGAGGATGTTGGTGAACGAGAAGCTGGGTGAGTTGGTCTTACCTGCTTGCGTGGTTCGACGAGCGCGACGTAAGGTCCGCCTCATTTGGACGAAGAACCCAAGTGTGGCTGAATTGTTGCATAACCATCGTGCCTTTGCACGGATGGAAGTGCTCCCCTGCGCATGCGTAGGGCTTCCGTACCCAAGGGTGTGAGGTCACGTCCGCTTTCGCCTTCGTGAGCTGGAGGGAATACATCCATTTATCCGTAACGCCAACAATGTACCGAAAGCAAATTGTACGGATAGAGTGTCGTTGCTTGGTCAGGAAATTGGAGATGCCTCTCGAAGTTGGGCCAACATCAAGGGGCTGACCGTACGTTTTTCGTCAGAAGAACTTGGCGGTTGTGTTACATCTTCAACACTTTGCAGGGAGGCTTGTTTGGATAGGTGTGCAGTTGTGGAAGTCAAGCGGCGCTTCGATGGTCTGGTAAAGACACCATTGCTCCGGAACCCCGGGGAGACCCTGGTCATCTGCCCTCGTTTGTATTATGAAGGCATGAAGGACCTCTTCATCAAGAACCCAAGGTATATTGCCGTGGGTGTGAGTGCAAGTGACACCTTGTTGAAGATGAAGATGGAGTTGTGGGAGCAGGGTTTGCTTGAATTTGCACGATGGGATAAGAGTGGGGCTATTGGACAAGCGTATGCTATGCCCAAACACAAGGACTTGAACCGATTCCGTCCTATTTGTCCTTCCTTCCCGGAGCCGACAGCTCGGACTGGGCGAGCTATGGCCAAAGGATTGAATCACCTGCTCTATGGTCTGCTGCGCGATTGGCATTTTAACTTGAAAGTCGTCTCGCAGTTGAAGGAAACGCTTGCTGGATTCAACAGGAAGCTGCAGCTCGTACACCATCAACCCGAATTGACCGGACAGTCCTTTGACATCAAGGAAATGTTCAGCCAGTTACCGTATCAGGAGATTGTCGATGCAGTGGATTGGTTACTGGACTACCACATGTCGAAGGGGAGGACTTTCGTACGAGTCAACACTCGTGGTAAGGGAGCATCATTCGGTTTGACGACCGGTTTTGACTATTGGAGGAAACTTGAGTTTCGCGACCTCCGCAATTTCGTCGTTTTTTAACTTGAACATACATATACGTTGGCGTTGGGGGTGCTGGTGCAGCAAAAGGTGGGAATCTCCATGGGGAAAAGTACAAGCCCACCTTTAGCTTGCATCATGTGCGCGCGATCAGAATTTGTTTTCCTACAGAGCCTGGGGAAAGCCAGGGGGGCAGTGTTTGGTGTGCGTTTGATTGATGACGTCAGTATTTTCGTGGAACAGAAGAATAGGTCGGTAGCTAATGCAGCGCAGATTTTCGATGCCTTTCGTGTTTGCTATCCCTCGAATCTTACCCTCAAGCGTACTGACGAGGGATGTGGTTGGTGGGATTTTTTGGGATGCGAGTTGAGGATTAGTAGAGCTTTTCCTTTTATTGAATGTGTTCAAGTCTCAAAAAATGAGCAAACCCTCTGGTGTAGTGAGACCATACCTTTCCTGAATGGACAATCTTTTCTGTCATGGGGGAGCAAAGTGCAGAAGAGCGCTGTAGTGGCAAGCCATTTACATCGCATCGATTGAAACMCCTCCGCCCGCCATGAGATACCGAGACGAGTGATCTCTCTCAGACGGGAGCTGCGCCTTAAAGATGTTCCTGCTCCGTTCTTTTTACGAGTCTTGAAGCGATTCGCGCACGACCGCGGGGAACCGTGGAAGTTGACTTTGGAGATGCTGTCACATTGAATGATGTGCTTGAGGAGTATGAGTGCTTCCTGGCATTGGGTAGTAGTGTCTTTTTGCAATTTTCTGCCTAATGATAGGAACGCGGACCCGTTGGTTGTAGTAGTATTTGTTAGCTGCGGGGGACCCCTGGCCACTGTAGTGACAAGGTTGATTTCCTTTTCGGAGGGTGCCGTACACTTTTCCTAGAGATGGCATTTTGGGTAGGTCCGTGCTATAGGACCCTAGGGTAAACCTGTAGCTCGGCCTGTCGGTTGGATTTGTGGCTAGTAGTTTCGCCCCCTTGAGCCCGGGGTGTTACTCATCCGTTTGGTTTGGGTTTGGCTCTATGCTTGAGAAGCCAGTAGTTTGCCTCCCCCCTCTGAGCCCGGGGGTGGAACTCACCTGTTTGCGTGGTTTTGGCTTTATGTTGTCCGGCATAAAAGCAATGATTGTAGCGTAGATAGTCCTCTTTCGGTTCCACGGTTGTCGGCCTTGCTGTAACAACCGCGGAGTTTTCGCGGCTCGATTGGTGGTTCCTGGGTGATGAGGATTGTGTGCGGAAGGTTTTCCGAAGGAATCTATTCTTGTTTAATTATTGTTTGTATCGAGTAACGTTGTGGAGTCATTGTTTGTGTCGAGTGACGCTGTTATCTACGAGGATATGCCTATGTGTGATGTGTCTATTACTTAAAACCTTAAGTCTTTGCTGACCTCTTTTTTTTTTTCTCCCCCTGAGATCGCACATGTATTGTCCTTCGGAACATCTATTGAAGTTGGAATAATACAGAGGAAGAAGATTAGCGTCAGACCTGTGCAAGGATGATGACATGTAGAAATCGTGAGCAAGGGACTAAATGGAAAAGAAAAAAAAAAAAAAAGTATCCGGGATTTTGGCAGAAATGACTTCTGGAATTAGGGAGACTTGCTTCTCCTCTTGACCTCAGTCACCTGTACACAGTTTCTTTGTTTTTTTTTTTGGCGTAGTCACGAAAACAGTTTGCAAATTCACTTCAGGCATATGCGAGTAAGCTATACTAACGATGGGGGTCATACGCTAATTGGAGAAGTGTGTGGTGATTGCCAGCGTCCATGTGGGGGCTGAGGCCCGAAGGTACAGATCCAATTACATTCCCCCGAACGCAACACACCCTCATGTGCCCCTACCAGACTGGAAATGCGTTCATCATTTTCGGGCCTTTTGAAACGGTTTACACCTCTTTGCAGTAGCAGACGCAGATCTGAGGGTTCGATCCCTAGACCTTGCCCTACCTGTGTGCAGTACCGGTGTAGACCCCGAGAGTTGAACCTGTGACATGTGTATTCGTAAACAATTGATAGGCTGTCGTAGGTCCGTAGGTAGCAGGGGTTCGATTTGTAGACCTGTAGGATAAAAGTCTTAGCGAAGTCTAGAAGTCCTAGCTGTAGCCTTAAGGTCAGCAAGTGGGCAAGTGGGCAAGTGGTGAGTCAAGTGGTGGATTAAACTGCAGTGCAATTGCAGTACAACGGTGGTAGGACAGCAGTAAGACCCCACTCAGTCAGTGGTAAGGTCCAGTCAGTCCCAGTTCGGTCCAGCAAGTACCACAAGGGACTGTGAGCGCCATGGGCCGATGGAAGAGGGCAGACCAACGAGTTTCAGAAGAATAAATCAAGAGGCAGCGCCCAGCCTTTCATTCATTCCTGCGTGAGCCATGCGGAAGCGCTGCCACAACGACTTGTGCAAGGAGGTCTGCAGTGAGTCCGCAGGACGAAGTGGGCGAGAGAGAAGGGCGTAGCATAGCGATAGCGTAGCAGTGGCTACTGCCGCCATAGCTGTAGATGAGGTTCAGAGTGTGTGTGTGTATGTTCGGAGAGTTGTGTGTGGGATATCCAGGGTGATCCGGTGTATGTGAGCAGTGAGTTGTTTGGGCGCTGAGTCACCATAGCCAATTGAAAGTGAACTCGTATCTGGATGTCATATCTCCGAGTTTGGAATGGGCGCACGTCGCCAGTTTGCTGCACTACTGTTTACATGCATGAAAAGTGTGAATGAGAACGAGTCAAATTGCATTGGTATCGGAGCTGGTACCAGCTATTCCATGCGCCGTCGTGTGCAAGGCCTGATGCGCCATTGCAGAGGTGGCCGCCAAGGGTTATAGTCCGCCATAGCGGATTTGGAGGTTGGAGACACCGCCGCTCACTAGCAGAGAAGACCACGACGAAGAAGGAGAGAGAGAGAGAGAGAGAGAGAGAGAGAGAGAGAGAGAGAGAGGTTGAGCGATACAAGGTTGGTTTACTACGTACCNGGGGAGGGGGTTATGCGAAAAGCATCTGTCCATGTTATGGTGTGAAGGATTCTGTATGCAGGCCCACTTTCGTAGAGAATGATTTGCTTCGATCCGGAAAGACATCGGACTTCGGCGCTGTGTTATGGCAGGGTCAAGAAGAAAGTGGTGGTATATGGCCGGACGCGAATTATTTTGCGTGCTGGTTTGCTCATACATACTGGTTCCTTGTCCATATTCCATCTGTTCCCGATGGTCGTGGCCGCTGCTCGGAAAACCTTAATTGGTTTGTTCAGTTTTGTTCAGATTTGGAAAATGAGGAAATATGACACACATTATTCAATAAGTATCCTCTGATATTGATGATCCATTGTTGTTTGGAATTGCCAGCGGAGCACTTATGCTGTCCTCCTTCCCAGAACATCTCCCTTCCAGCGTCCGCTTCTCTTTTGCTTGGAGCATGTAGGAGAGCTTCGTGTGGCTTCCCTCCGTAACAGGTAAAGTAGATCGAAATCGCTCTGCCGACTCCAAGCAACTGAAGTAGATCGCATTTTTTGCGTGTGTGTGTGTGGTCGCATCTGCTCGTCATTGCCTGCGTATCCTGTCATGAATGGACACAGTGAGGTATGTGTCGCTTTAGTGGAGTGCTGGGTTGCCAGTAGCTCTGTACATGAAAACCTGATGAGAGAGATTGTACTCCATTTGTTAGTAGTGGTAAGCATTGTTGGCACAGCGGGTCCCCAGCGGGTCCCGTCTTCTCTCTCTCCCTTGAGTGACTTTGCCCTGGGACTCTGGACGGACTGCGCTGATGTTGGCCCTTGTGGGGCTGTGAGCCTGTGGCGAATGCGCCACTGTGCGCAGGCGCTTTGTTTTTTTTTCCTCTTTTTTTTTTTTTTTTTTTTTTTTTTTTTTTTTTTCCAAGAACGCAGGTACTTTTCTGACTACCTAGGATTTGCAACTTTGGTCGAATGAAGGATTTTGAACCATATTTGAATTCTTAAATAAATATTTTGAAAGCTGGAACTCTCCAGGAAGGGGGGTGACGCGTGGAGAAGGGGAGTGCCACAGTGTTGGTTGTCCTGCTGGGTGGAAGGGGGGGGGGTACGTGGGAGCGCGGACATGGTAGGCAAAGACCGAGGGGGTTGGTGCCACGGCGTTGGTTGTCCTGTTGAAACAGGACTTGGAATTGGGAGAGAGAACAGGACTTGGAATTGGGAGAGAGTTCCCCAAAGCGAAGGTGAAAAAGCGAGGGTGTTGAAAGGTTGGGTGTGTCCTTGAAGCAATGGATCATGCGTTTCCGTTGTGGGTGTGGTGAGTAGTCTGTTGCAGCACGCGCTGTCCGTAAACCGTCACACGGTTTGCCCGTTCTATTGTTTGTGACAACAACGGTGATATTTCGTATAATGCAGTGTCCCACTGTTGTGAAAGTGAGTCCTTGCAGGAATGGACCGGAATGGCCCTGGGACTCACAATGGGCCCGACAGTTGACGGCTGATACATGTTAAGCTTAGTAAGGGTAGACGACGTGATGGGACCCACATCCGTCAGGTCAGACCCACTTTAAGGAAAAAAGAGAGCATGATGTAGGGATGCTCTCCTGTAGGAATGCTCTGCTCACAGACAGACGATCTTCAGTGTGCTGAGGATGAGATGGGTGACGGACGAGTCATTGGAGGAGTGGATCAGGTACTTGAGGGCTGTCGTAAGCAACCTTCAAAGCGCCAGTACACCACACATCGGCCCGCGGGTGTCAGCACGAAACCCGCACGACTTTCGGAGGCGACCAATTTTATGTTTTCAATGGGGCGCCCCTCCTCACCGCACGGCGCCTCCGAGTCTTGCTTGTGGTGACAAAGTCTTCCTTGCAAGGCTGGGGCCGTGTACTAGCGGTTTAAGGGGGGCAAAACAAAAAAAAAAAAAGGTCTGGCAGTTTTTGATCGTGCGGGGATGCATTCCAGATTGAATGCTTGCTGACAGAAGGGTGATCTTCTCGATGTGGTCTTTTTCCACTGTTGTCTTTTTCTTCGTCTCCCACGATCTTGGATGTTGAGGACCTTGTTGAAAATCAGCAGATGGTGCTACCCAAGTTGCTAAGTAAATAGCCATTACTGTCAAGAATAAGCAAATGGAAATTATAAATGATGTACACATGGGTGGAAGTTAGATTGTTGCAAGTTGATGAGGAACAGCAGCTTATGAAAGGTGTGGCGTTTCACTGAGGCTGGTGAGGGAAGTAGCATGTATACAGTGGAGTGAATTGAGGGTACGTTTGACACACGTACAGGAAAAAGGCAACGAGAACGGTTTGTATGTCGCATGCTCTTTGCTTCATGCTGTCTGCTCCTTTTTTCTGCACTTATTTCATGGAAGTGCGCTCCTTCAGCAGATAGAAGTTGTATGGCAATATATATGCCACTACCTTTTGGATTGTGCATTTTTTCTGCCGTTGCGTACCCGCAATCCTCCGCATAATGGAGCCGAGACACAGGGTCAGTATGGTTGCGTTGGTACAACTGCCTAGTGGCAGCAGCAGCAGCTGCTTCTAGGAGGAGGAGCGGTGTGGATAATCCAGTGCACCAAACTAGTGTTGAGCTATATCCAAGGTTTACTCCACCTAAAATCCACCAGTTCTGTGTGTGTGTGTGTGTGTGTGTGTGTGTGTGTGTGTGTGTGTGTGTGTGAGAGAGAGAGAGAGAGAGAGAGAGAG